TTTTCCATTCTTGTGGATGCTTTTGGTAGTAAAATCCGATGAGGTGGGTTTTCCAGCTCATAGAGGTTCAGCATGTGGAAGAGTCTTTGTAGGAGAAATGGGTTTTGGGCATTAAGGAGGGCAATTGATGTAATGAGCACTGGGTATCATATGCAACTGGCTAATCATTAAATTAATGTATGGTGATTAACATAACATAATTTAAAAAAAAACAATACCTAGAGGTCCTTCCCCTGGCTTCCTGCAAAAGATATATTTTATGTATTTAGGTTCTTATGTAACAGTAGTCAAATATCTAAACCAAGAAACTGACATTAGCACAATGGGAGTGTACAGTTTTGTGACATTTTATCACATGTGTGGATTCCTGTAACTGTCCGTGCAATAAATTAGATAAGTATACCACCACGGCAAAGCTCTCCCTCATGCAACCCCAACAATCCTAAACCCTGGCAGGTCTAGAACCAAGGTGTTTTTATTCTTCAGCAATACTCAACATAGTCTGAGATACACATTTATTGATAAAGTAAAATATTCCTGATGTTTTAAAAGATGAGAAAAACAAACCCAAAATGTTCCACTACTCTCTGATGGAATTATGGTGATTTTCTTTGCATTTTTACATTTTCTTTGTTTTCCCCATGTCCGTGTGTAGTAAAATTGAGCACTGCCATAATAATATAGTATTAAAGAGGTGTCATAAACCACAGAAATTTTTTTCTCAAATTTTTCCTGGAGGCTGGATTCCAAGGTCAACATGTCGGCAGTGTTGGTTCCTGGCAAGAGCTCTCTCCTGACTTGTAGATGGCTGCCTGCACCCTGTGTCCTCATATGATCTTTCCTCTGCGTATGGAGAAAGAGTGGGAGAGAGAGGGAAGGAAGGAGGGAGGGAAGGATAGAAACAGAGAGGGAGGGATGAAGGGAGAGAGAAAACGTTGGTATTCTCTAGTTACAAACCAGAGCTCTTCACTCTGCATCCCCCTGGCCACATGCCAGCACTGCCCTAATCCCCACCACTCTTCCTCTGGCCTGTATTCCTTCCACAAAGTACTTCTGTGCTGCTCCTAGGGCTGAGGACTCCAGATGCCCCATAATTTTGGATGTGCCCCTCCACCACCCTCAAGCCTCTGTACCTTTACAACCCATCATGGGATTGCTGAAGATCTCCCCACAGGGAAATATGAATCTGGATAACAGCAGCAGGCTGGGGTATTAAGGAGGGCAATATTGCATGGAGCACTGGGTGTTATACACAAACATGAATCATGGAACACTACATCAAAAGCTAATGATATACTGTATGGTGACTAACAATATAATTTTAAAAAAAAGAAGCAGTGGTATATATTTATACAATTTAATATTACTCAGCCATCAAAAAGAAATAAGTCTTGCTATTTGCAAGGATGGAACTGAAGGGTATTATGTTAAGTAAAATGATTCAGTCAGAGAAAGACAAATACCATATAATTTCACTCATACATGGAATTTAAGAAACAAAACAGATGACTAGAGGGGAAGGGAAGGAAACAAAATAAGATGAAAATTGAGTGGGAGGCAAACCACATGAGATGCTGAACTCTAGGAAACCATCTGAGGGTTGCTGGAGGGGAGGTGAATGGGGGGATGTGGTAATTGGGTTTTGGGCATTAAGGAGGGCAATTGATGTAATGAGCACTGGGTATCATATGCAACTGGCTAATCATTAAATTCTACCTATGAAACTGTTAAAAAAATAAATAAATAAAGATATGGGGACAAATGCTGAGATCAGCCTCCCAAACCATAACCTAGGGATACAGCCATCAGTTGACCCTAGTGCTCCTTACCACCTGCCTTCCCTAGCCAGGGTTTGTTCCACGTCTACCGTGTCCCCACAGGCACAAGGTCCCATAAATCACAGTAACTACTATATTGTATGTTCCTTTTCTTCTGGTTTCCCACCTTACACATTGTTGTGGACTAAATGTTTGTGACCCTCTACCCAATTCACATGTTGAATCCCTAGCCCCTCGCCCCCATGTGTGGTATTTGGTGATGGGGTTTGTGGGAGATAATTAGAATGAGATCAGTGTGGGCCCCTTATGTTGGGATTAGTGACCTTGTAAGAAGAAACATCTGAGGGGCAACTGAGTAGTTCAGTGTGTTGAGCATCTGTCTTCAGCTCAGGTCATGATCCCAGGGTCAGGGATCCAGTCCCACTTCAGGCTCCTTGCTCAGTGGGGAGCCTGCTTCTCCCTCTGCCTGCTGCTCCCCCTGCTTTTATTCTCTCTCTCACACACACACATACACACACACAAATAAATAATAAATAAATAAATAAATAAATAAATAAATAAATAAATAAATAAAAAGATCTTTGAAAAGAAAAAAGAAGAGACACCTGAGGGTTTTCCTTTTTTCACTTTATACTTGAGAAGGGAGAAAAGGCCATGGGAGCACACAGTGAGAAGTTAGCCAGGAAGAGGTACATCCTTTGGGTTACATCCTTTTCTGAAACCTGTCCTTCCTACAAAGACTATTCCACATGCTGAACCTCTATGAGCTGGAAAACCCACCTCATCAGACTCTTCCACATGCTGAACATCTATGAGCTGAAACAACCCCCAGTCTATGATATTTTATTTTATTATGGGAATCTAAGCCAATACACAGGTCTTCAGGATTCTCTGACATGGGAATCAAGTCTGCCTTATTCATTTCCATTTCTATCAATGTAGCATCATGACTTAAAGAGTAATGCTTATCAAATATTTGAAAAGTACCTGAATAAATTGGTGTGGATGAAGAGCTCCCCAGAACATACTAGGATACAGGTCAGCAAACTGCAGCCCATGGGCCAAATCTGGCTCACTACCTGGTTTTGTATAGCCCACAAGGTAAGAATAGTCTTTCCTTTTTTAAACAGGTGAAAAACATCAAAAGAAGAATATTTTGTGTCATGTGAACATCACATGTAATTCAACTTAAGTGTCCAAAAATAAAGTTTTATTAAAACACAGTCATGATCATTCATTATAGAGGATTTCATGCTACAATGGCAGACTTAAATTGTTGCTATAGATTCTAGCCATGATGGTCAATTTTGTGTGTCCTCTTTACTGGGCCAGAGGATGCCAGATAGCTGGTTAAACATAAATTCTGCGTGAATCTGTAAGGGTGTTTCCAGAAGGGATTAGCATTTGAGTTGGACTGGGTAACACAGAAGGCCCTCTCCAATGTGGATGGGCATCGTCCAGTCCCTTGAGAGCCTGAATAAAATAAAAAAAAGTGGAGGAAGATTGAATTAACTCAGCCTGATGGTTTGACAGGAACATCCATCTTCTACAATCAACATACCTAGTTCTCAGGCCTCCAGACCCAGAATGGAATATACACCACCAGCTTTTGGTATCCCAGACCTTCAACCTACACCACCGTTTTTCTGGGTCTCCAGCTAGCAGACAGCAGATTATGGGACTTAGCTCCATAATCATGTGAGTCCATACCTCATTATAAATCACTTCATAAAAATGTGTGTGTGTGTGTGTGTGTGTGTGTGTGTGTGTGTGTGTGTGTGTCCTGTTGGTTCTATTTCTCTGGACAACCCTGACTAATACACTGGTCCACAAAAACTAAAACAGACATATCATGATCTGAGTTTCCAAACTATCTGATGAGACAAGATGGTGTCTGTGAAATGGATTATACTTCAATCGTCCAGCAATAGAAATGTAATTTATAGAAATCTTTCAGCCTCTGAGTCAACTCTGGGTGCAAAAATCACTTTATTGCCCCCTTAAATCTCCATGTAGGCAAAACCTGTATCTCTCTTGGTCTCTGCCTTAGACCTAATGAGAAATCAATATATTTGAATGAATGAATAATTAACTGCACAGAAAACAGAACAAAGAAATATCAAAATCCATACTATGGTGTGAACTTTTCCATTCTTGTGGATGCTTTTGGTAGTAAAATCCGATGAGGTGGGTTTTCCAGCTCATAGAGGTTCAGCATGTGGAAGAGTCTTTGTAGGAGGGAGAGGTTTCAGAAAAGGATGTAACACAAAGTGACCAAGAAACTGGGCCACACCTGGCCCTTTATATGTGGAAAGTTTGCTTAGCACACTGAAAGACACAGAAAAATTCCAGATTATGCAGGTCTTGATGTCAAACATAGTTGACTTCTTTCACATTATTGACGTGGTGAATTTCTTGAAACACACACAACAGTCTTGTTTATCCTCTCATTTGCTCAGAGAATAACAGTTCCAATTTTCCATGGGATAAGTGGATATAACTCAAGATATTTTTTAATTAACCTAGAAAAAATAATATTTAGAAATGTTATAAAAGACTACAGAAAGATAATTCTAAAGATTCCTTTGGGGCATCTGGGTGACTTAGTTACAGGTCTGACCCCTGGTTTGATTTCAGGTTATGATGAGGGTTGTGAGATCAAGCCCCATGTTGGGCTCCATGCTAAGCGCAGAGTCTGCTTGAGATTTTCTCTCCCTCCCCCTCTGCCCCTCCCACTCATTCTCTCTCTCCCTCTAAATTAATAAATAAATATTTTTTAAGAAATTTAATTAATCCTTCAATCACAAAATTTACCTTCCGGGTAAATAGGTCTGAGGAAGAGCAAAAGGCTATACACTATTATATTTGGTGAGACCCTGGTCATCCCAGAAGTCCCAGCTCCCTACAACTCTTAACCCCCAAGTTACAGAAGATAAGACCAATGAAATGGGCTACAGGGAAAAAGAAAACAAAACCAATCTGTCTCTTTCAAGATGTATGTCCTGATCCCTCTGCTTCAAGGTTTGTGAAATGCTGGTTTACATGTAAAGAAATAAAAGAGGGAAGGTGGGAAATTAACACAAGGTTGGAAATGTTATGTGTTGTCAATCACCTAAGATCTAAAGGAAAAAGCAGTGAATTCTCCTTTTTTTCTCCCTTATCCTTTCCATTATCAATATGAGTTATTTGTTCCTGGGGCTATAGCAAGCTTAGTGTGATTTCTGCTGTTTGAGTTAGGCAACTTCACATGCTTACCTCTACACAATAAGGTTATAAAAATGGTGCTTTGTGAAACTATTCAGAACTGAAAGCAAGAGCAAATATTGTGGTTTTCTTGAACAAGGCTTCAGGAAGCCACAGAAGAGATGCCAAGGTGAGGGGGAGACATTCCTATATCTTTAAACATGAGAGGCACCAAATTTTAAGAGACAGGAGAAAATAGAACTACATTAAGGAATGGATTTGCTTGGTCCTTTGCTCACAGACAGTAGAAACAGCTGATCAGATGACTTACATTTTACACACCTTCCTTGGCTATCTGATGCTATTTTTCTCACAGAAAGTATGTTTCTTTACTGTGCAGATCATCTCGGGGGGGGTGATATTTACTCAAACACTGTAACACCAGGCAGATTTTCATGGTTCTACAATAGGCACACCAAAACTATGTACGTAGACAGAGTAATGATTCTCCCAAAGATGCCCACATTCTCCTCTCTGAATCCTGTGAATATGTCACTCCACATGAGGAAAAAAATGGACTTTTGAGCTAAAATTAAGTTACGTATCTTAGATGGGAAGTGAGGCAGTGTAATGACTAAGGTTTTTTTAAAAGAAAGAGGGAGGAAGGAGAGTCAAAGAGAGGAAAAGAGATACAACTGACAAAAGCAGGGGAGAGTGAGTGAGAGCGAGAGAGTTTTGAAGATACTGCAGTGCAGGCTTTCAAAGGTGAATGGAGCAAGGGGACACTATTTAAGGAAAGCAGGCAGACTCTAGGTGCTGGAAAAGGTGAGAAATTAGAAACTCTCCTAGAGTCTCCAGAAGGAACTCAGCTCTGCTGACCCCTTGATTTTACTCCCATAGGACCCATTTGAAACTTCGAACTTCTAGACCTGTAAGATATATGTTTGTGCATTTTTTTTAAATTTACTTACTTTCTTATTATGTTCAGTTAGCCAACATATAATACATCATTAGTTTTTGATGTAGTGTTCAGTGATTCATTAGTTGCATATAACTCTGGGAAAGAGTATGGAGGGTCCTCAAGACATTAAAAATACAGGTACCCTAAGACCCAGCAATTGCACTACTAGGTATATGCCCCAAAGATACAGATTTAGTGAAAAGAAGGGGCACATGCACCCCAAAGTTCATAGCAGCAAAGATTTACTTATTTAATTGAGCAAGAGAAAAAGAGAGAACGAGAGAGTGCAGGGGGGTGGGGAGAGGGAGAGAAGAGAGAATCTCAAGCAGACTTGACACTGAGCCTGGAGCCCACTGCGGGGCTGGATCTCAGGACCCTGAGATCATGACTTGAGCAGAAATCAAGAGTCAGACACTTAACTAACCAAGCCACCCAGGCACCCCTAATATTTGTGTTGTTCTTAGCAATAAGTCTGTGAAAACTTGTAACAACAGCAAAAGGAAACTAATACAATTGAAGTGTATATGTGGAAATAATCTGTTTTCTGGGATTCTGGAGTGAGGGAAGCTCACATCCTATTCAGGGACTACTAGGGAAAAGTTCCAAGGGATGACGATATGGCCTTGCTGAGGCTGAGCTAACTAAAGAACACGGAGGTTAAGTACTGTTAGCATTCCCTAAACAGAAAGGTATGAACTATTTATTACATTCTTCCTGAATAATGCAAGCCCCAAGTGGGACAGGGCTGTGATACAGCCAGAATGAACATCTCCAATATGTGGGACCCTTCCCTTGTGTGGTGGCATCAGCTGTACCAAGGGATGCTGCATTAGCTCCTGCTTGGTAACATTCCCCATCCTTGGCTGAATCAACATCTACAATGTGTGTGGGAGATGTTCAGCCCCCCCCCACCAGTATCTGAGCCACCTGAAAGCCTACACAGAGAAGCAAATAATTAGTTCCAATTGAGCAAATTTAAGAAAACTGTCCCGTGCAGGGAAAACAGGAAGGAGGCAATGGAAGATTTAAGATGCTTCGCAATTTGACCCAGTTCACATAGCAAGCATGTGAGAGAGGTGGTATTTCATTCCAGACCTGCTTCAGTCTGGGAACTAAGGTCTACATGATGTTCATGGATCATAAGGAAATATTTGGGTCTTACTCAGTAGACATGATGGTCAATAATGAAACAATGCGGCAGAGAATTATCTTGATATTCCCAAGAGAAAGTGACATCATAAACTAATCACTTCTTTACTCTACTGTTTTAATACCCTCCTGGTCAGGCAATTCATTCATTCATTTATTCATTCACTTGTTTGCTCACTAGATAATTATCGAGCACTTGGAAAGTTGGAAAGAGATTGGTGAGGAAGACAGTTCCTGCACCTTCTGCAAATGCAGTTTATTCATTTAATTTAATCAGTCATGCAGCAATTATATATTGAGCATTTCTATGTGCCTAGCCCTGTGTGAAATGCTGGGGATACATTAGAGGGAAAAACCAACATAGCACTGTCGGGGCTGAAATCCAGACAGAAGACAGACATTAATGGAACAGTGAAAACCAAGAGTAAATGACTCCGACGACTGCTCTGCAGGAAAGGCACAGGGGCTATAAGAGTGAAAAACAAGAGATTCTGACCTAATCAAGGCAGGAAGAGAAGGCTTCTTGGAGGAATGGACACATGAACTGAGATCTGATGGCTCACCTAGTTTTGAGTCAAGGAAAACAAAAGAGTGTTTCAAGGAGAGGGAGTAGAGGGAGGATGTGCAAAGTCTTTGTTCCAAAGAGACACAGTGAATTTAAAAAACTGAAAGAAATCTGATGTGGCCAAAATAATGATGAGTTTATGGTGGATGAAGCTGGAGAGGAAAGCAGGAGACAGGCCAAGCAAATACTCATTGATTTATGGATTTGGGGTTTAATCCTACATGTAATGAGTTTAACAAAGGAGTGACATTATTTTATTTATGTTTTGAAAAGGTCCCTCTGAATTGTGTGTAGAAGATGCAAGAGAAGCTGACAAGAGTAGAAAGGGGTGGTAAATTAGGATACAGCAGTTGCTCAGCCAAGCGAAGATGGCAGCCTGCTAAGGAGGAGTGATGAAGATTGAGCCAGCAGGACATACTGGGGACATACTGAGAAGATAAAAACAACAAGGATTGGAAAACAGATAGCTTGTGGTGGGAAATAAAATCATTGTTGAGAGTAACTTTTATGATCCAAATTTGTGCCACAGGATGATGCAGTATCATCCAGAGGGAGAAAGATGTCATGAGAAAGGATTAAATTGGGGTAAAGACTGCAAGTCTTCTACTGGAAGCCTGAGCTAAAGGTGTCTTCAAGACATAAGAAATAAGAAGCTGAAAATACTCATCTAGACTTCAGAGATCAGAGCAAGAGAAATATACATGGCCGTCATTTGTGTCTAGTGGTAACTATCTAAAGAATAGATGCTTTGTCTAGGAGGAAAGATTTAGCCAGGACTGAAGTTATTCCAGAACTGATCCATTAGATTAAGCAATGAAGGAAACAAAGAGAGAAAAGCTAGAGAGAATGGAAGAAAGAAATAGAAGCATGTCTGAGTAGAATCTACACAGAATAAGGATGGAGTGTTTCATGAGAAAGGATGAACAGTTAGAAGTTGCTGAGAAAACTTTTAGGGACATGGAGATCACTGTAGGTCTAAGAGATGATTGTTTGGGTGGCATGATGGGGGAAAGAAACCCTATTTGCAAGAGCTGGGGGAGGAGGGAGTAAGTTTAAGGCAAGGAAATGGAGACAGAGAAGTCAACTCTTGGCTGGTAGCTAAAACGGGGGCAAGTAGTACATGTTTTTAAGGTAGAAGAGAACCAAACATGTTTCCATGACTATGGGAGGAATGTTGTTGAGATTGTGCCTTAGGGAAGTGGAAAGAGAGGAGAATGTGTGAACAGTAATTTAAAGATAATTGATAAGGTATGAAGGATGGGATCCAAAGAGCACGTGGAAGCACCATCTTCATAGAGGAGGCCAAAAGTTAATAATTAATTAACAGCTAAATTATTCACATTACATTAACAGGTAAAGAGTCAAAAAGCAAACCAAGTGTGAGCCACCCTAGGGCATCATCTACTGCACACTAAAGTTGTTCAGTGTGATAAGCATATGGTACTCAAGCAGATCACTTAGTGAAGCGCTCTGGGAGTAATGCGTGATCTTACCATGCTGGATTTGGAGACATCAGACATGGCCTTGCTGGACAGTGTGTATTTCTCAGACTCAGCTCTTGTTTTCCTGATCCCTTTGAACCATTTCTTATATTGTTCCCGGACCTGCAGAGGCAATGCACGGTTGGGTCAGCTCACTGAAGGGAGTGAGGATGGGAGGAGTACTGGGTAGGAGCTGGGCAGTGGTACCTGCTGGCTGAGGAGGCAGTACACCAAGAAGATGAAGAAGCCCTGCAGGCTGTTGATGATGGTGAAGAGGTAAGCCATGACATGGGCAGCTGGACCCACCTGCAGGATGCCCAGGCACCAGGTGCAGCCCAAAATGAAAAGTTGAGCTGTGGCCTTAAATGTCAGCATCCTGGGTTGGACAAGAAAGGAGGTTCATGATGCACCCGGGGCAACACAATGACAAACATTCTCCTCTCTACCCTATGGATTCTCCTTTCTTCCCCTTTTGGTGATGAGTTCTCAGACTGACTTGTGATCAGCTTTGGTCTTTATTGTCAATGATTCCTTACAGAAAAAATGCCATGAGGGACCAGGGTGGTGTTTTGATTTGGATTGAGGAGGATAGGAATACTTCATAATGTAAGTTTCAAAAATTTTATAATGCTCCATGGAGATCTTGAATTTTATTCATTCAACACTACTGAGAAGGCATTTTGCATCCAGCTCTGTGCTGGGACCTGGGATTTAAAAAACAATGGCAAGATTTCTATTTTCTTTTTTTTTTTTTTTTTTTTTGAGAAACCGTCTTTATTTTCTTTATGTTATTGTTATGTTATTATGTTATGTTAGTCACCATACAGTACATCATTAGTTTATTTTTATTTAAATTCAATTAGCCAAGGGAGATTCCTATTTTCATTTGGAATGGATAATAATAGGAACATGGAAGAGAAAGCAAAAATTTGCACAAAGGTTGCTAGAACAAAGGACTGCCCAAGCCTCCCAGAAGATTTGACATTGACTACCATTTTCTCCACAGAGAGGAATGAAAGAGGGGTCAGAAGGAGCCTGAACTAGGATGGGGTGTGGAAATGTAGGGTGGGTTGTGAGAGCAATCACAGGTTTTTCTAAGTGCTTCTTGGGAACATAAATATTCTCTGTACATTTGTCATAAGATTGCTGGCAAAAGTCCAAAGAACATTTATTAACCAATGCCAATCCTTCCTGTTGCTGAGAGAGTTACAAAAGAGGGTTAGAAATAGATAGAACAGGGACGCTTCAGTGGCTCAGTCGGTTAAGCATCCGAATCTTGATTTCAGCTCAGGTCATGATCTCAGGGTCGTGGGATAGAGCCCCATGTTGGGCTCCACACTGAGCGTAGAGCCTGCTTAAGAATCTCTCTCTCCCTCCCCCACACTCTCACTGTCTTTCTGGAAAAAAAATGAATAGAAAGAACATTTTGGCCAGGGTGTCATCAGCACACCACTGAATCTGAGCCAGCTGCCATAGAAGGATAGCTGCATCTCTCTGCTCTAGGTCCCCTTAGCAGACCCCAAGAAGAAGCATCAGGGGCTGCTGAGGCACATGGCTTTGTCCTTAGGACCACACATGTCTGTGGGGTTGTCACTCTCTTCTCAAGCTTACCTTGTGTTCTGGAGGGTGGATACATCACTGTTGAGGGAAGACAGTTTGCTTTTCAAAATCCGGAGGGTCATCAGAACAAAAGCTAAATTGACCTTCAAGAAACCACAGAAGGTTTATTGAATAAAATTTCAATCTGTGATCTGTGTCCTAGCCTCTCCAAACTCAACTACACATTTAAGTCATTTTCATATCAAGTAACAGTGTTAGAGTTTGTAGTTTAAGGAGTAGTCTTAGAAAACCAAACAATGCCATGACAATCCACGGACATGCCTGCCCCTGTCACACACACACCCCCCTTTAAATTCTGCTCTTCTAATGACCCCCAGCTAAGCATTAGGGATGCTGTGATATCATCGCTCACAGAGAAGATGGTGCAGACTGGCCCAAGGAAGCTCCATATAAATCTCTTTTCTGGGTCGAGCCAGCAGCTGAGCAAGAGAGAGTAAAAAATGCATTAGTCCTTGGGAATATAGAACTATTCTATGAATTCATTCATTCATTCATTCATTCATCAACAAATATTGAGTGACTCTTTTGTGACAGGCTCTGTCATTAGCTCCGAAGGTACAGTGGTAAAGAAAGTAAACATGGTCTTAAAACCCACAAATCTCACATGGAGAGGAGACACACAATTAGACATTCTGTAACAATACAACAAAGTGTGAGGTTGTGAGAATGTATCATTGGATGTCATGCTTAGTTTGGAGTCTGAGGGATTAGGATGGTTAAGGAAGATTCCTTAAGGAAATTATATTTTTAGCTGAGATATTGACATTGGATGATGTTATGGAGATAAACAGTGTTAAAACAAAGAAGCCCACAAACGTGTTAACAGATTTTGAGAGTCCTGTGAGCCTAATATGCTTTTAGGGGCCTTTCTTGCACTCTTCCATTGAATTTGTTTCCATCGGCTGCCAAACCCATCAACTTAGATTTAAATGTTTTCATGGCTTTATTGAGATATATATTTTGCAGACCATAAAATTCACCCACTGAAACTATACAGTTCAGTGATATTTACTTTTTTTATTTTTATGGTATGTTAGTCACCATACAGTACATCATTAGTTTTTGATGTAGCGTTCCATGATTCAGTGTTTGTGTATAACACCCAGTGCTCCACACAATATGTTCAGGAGCATGTTGTGCTTAGGAGTGCACGTCCTGGGAACTGACTTCCTGAATGGAGGAGTAAGAACCTTGGTGAACTTGCTCTCCTTCTAAAACAACAAAATACACACAGAACAATGAAAACCAACTATTTTGAAACTCTGGCATATACCCAAAACCACAGAACAAATTGAAAATAGTCTATCCAAGAGAAACTACTGAACCTCAGTAAGACTGGGGAGAAAGGAGTCTGGGATGGTTTAACTTGGAACTTAGTGGTGCAGCAGCCAAAAGTGAAGAGCACTGAAGACAATGGAGAGATCTGAATATTATTGCAGCTCCATTAAAAGCATCATCATCATCCCCAAAACACAACCAATATTTTATTCTTACTCTGTAGTTCCCTAACTCTTTATCCTCTAAATTTGGTGGCTATTTGATTTCACCGAGAACTCATGGGGGAGAGGGGAGCCTACTCGAGGACACTACCAATACAAGAGAAAACTACTGTCACATCATCTGCTGTCTAGGTCTATGATGTCAGGTGCGATCAACAAGAACTTGTCCAGCAATTTAAAAGGAAATACTGGAGAACCAAAGGACCATAACAAATTATGGAAAACCTCTGAAACATTCCGCTAGGTCTAAGGATGCACGAGGATATGCCTCACACAAAAAAGGCATGGGGATGCACCCCAATGTTTATAGTAGCAATGTCCACAAACCCAACCTATGGAAAGAGCCCAGATGTCCATGGACAGATGAATGGATAAAGAAGATGTGGCATATACATACAATGGAATATTACTCAGCCATCAAAAGGAATGAAATCTTGCCATTTACAATGACATGGGTGGAAATAGAGGTTATTATCCTAAGTGCATTAAGTCAGTCAGAGAAAGACAAATCTCAGATGATTTCACTCACATGTGGAATTTAAGGTGAACATTGGGGGAGGGAAGGAAAAACAAAATAACACAAAATCAGAGTGGAGACAAACCATAAGAGACTCTTAACTACGGGTTACTGGAAGGGAGGTGGGTGGGGGGATGGGGTAAGTGGGTGATGGTCATTAAGGACCACATTTGAGGGGGCGGAGCAAGATGATGGAGTAGGAAATCTGGATTTGGCCTGGTGCCAAGAATTCAGCTAGATAGGGATCAAACCATTCTGAACACCGACGAACTCAACAGGAGATTGAAGAAAAGAATAGCAACAACTCTCTGAACAGAAAAGCGACCACTTTCTGGAAGGTAGGATGTGTGGAGAAGTGAATTCGAGGCGATATTCGGGAGGATAGACGGTGGGGGAGGGGGCCTCCATCAGGTGCTCCTGGCAAGTGATAGAGCAGTGGAGCACAAAATCGGAACTTTATAAGTCTGCTTCGCTGAGGGCCGTCACTGCAGTGGCTAAGCAGGGAGTGGAACCCTCACTGGGACACTGTGGTCTCAGGACCCTCAGGGTCACAGAAAGACCGGGGGTGCCTGAGAGCAGCAGAGCTCCCAGGGATTGGAGCAGGGAAGCTGGCTGCAGAGACGGAGCCAGGGAGTGGGCTCGCAGCTTGGGGTTGCCATAAACCATGATCCGCGGCCCAGTCGGGCCACTGCTCCTCCAGCAGGGACCCAACAAACGGCAGAGCCGCGGAGACTCCCCTTCCTCCCCCAGAAGGAGTGGCGCGGGAGCGCACCACAGGGATCTGCTGGGTTTGGAGACTCCACATGGGGTCGTGCGCCAGAGATAGAAACGCTCGGTCACAGGCCGGGTGAGCACGGAGTGCGGCGGGAACCGGGGAGACAGGAGTGACTGACTGCTTTTCTCTGGGGGCACACTGAGGAGCCGGGCCCCAAGTCCTCAGCTTCTCCGGGGCAGAGACTGGGAGGCTGCCATTTTCACTCTCGTCCTGCAAAGCTGTACAGAAACTTGCAGGGAACAAAAGCTCCCAAGAGCAAACCCGAGCAGATTCCTTAGCCAGGACCCGCAAGGGTGGGGCAATTCTGCCTCCGGCAAAGACATTTGGGAACCACGGCAACAGGCCTCTCCCCCAGAAGATCAGCAAGAACTGCCAGCCAAGACCAAGTTTACCGATCAATGA